TTGATGGCCTTTGTCTTTGAAAGATGCTTTAAATCCCACCATCTCCTTTACCCAAGTGTCCTGCATGTTCCCCTCCCTCACTGACCCTTGGCACCTACTCTGCAAGGTATTATATTGGTAGGTCTATGTGCATCTGAGAAGGTCCTAAGGCCTCTGATTTGAGAGGAAAAGTTAGAGGGATAACAAGAGTCAGCCAAACTTACAGAGAGCAGTTGGAACAACAGTTTAGAGTACGCCCATAGAGCTGCTTGAGTTTCCTTATTAAGCAGGGACCTATGGGCTACTGGGTACTGCCTGCCCATCTGAGGAAGCTGTGTGGCATCTCAAGAGGTGTATCTGAGATGTGACAGGTTCTGCCAAGGCTCATCAAACATCCCATCTACAACTTCTGTGCATGCATCTGAGAACAAATGCTACTGCCAAAAGGCAACAGAAATCGTGTCCTAGTGACTCACAGCCCCAGTTCGCAGGACACAGGTGGCTTTTGGACTGCATCTCCCCAATGAAATGTGGGAAAGTAATCCATAAGCCATCAGATAGTTCAAAGCCCAAAATTTGGACCCTAGGCAAGGCATCACCAATGACATAATACTTTGGAAATATCTGCTATATGTCAGCTTTTGTAATTACAATCTCTTCTACTTTCACTCAGTTTTTTAGTTAGACCAAATGAGACTGTAATTTTTTCTCAGTCATTGAGTATAAATAAGCAAATTATAGAACTTTCCTGCCTTTTTCTTTTAACTAGGGATAATACTACCTTGGAGAGTTGTTCTGGAGGTAAAAAGAGGTAGTTTATGTAAAGTGCCTGGTTGTTGATAAATATTTGGAGAAGAAACAAAGCATATATCTTTTGATACATGAAGCATAAAAACCATTTAATATAATTCCATGAGCAACAATAATGATAAGTATTACTATCATTAATAACCCAATGATGTAGGCCTATCACTTTAAGAGAAGTAAAGTAACAGACTTGGGAACAACACTTTAGGATCAGGCCTAGGATGCCTAGGACTCCAACCAGCTGTGCCTTTTTCTCACCCAGCAATAGGGGACATTTCACAATCACCAGGAAGATAATGATCAGCTGATTTGATGTAGCTGTTATATTTAAGCAAAACTACGAAGGGAAAAATGTTTAGATTGAGCTATTTATAATGGAATTTAAGTTTAGTGTATGAATTGATTGCATCTCTTAGCTCTTTGATTACCCATTTTTATAACCCTTTAAAACTTAAAGAATAACTTAAGGATAAATTTTATGCAGATTTAAGAAAACAGTGGGGAAAAAAAACCCAAGTACTCTTTTGCTACTTGTATGGAATCTTCCAGTTTACCTGGTGTGAATTTTCTTCTGGTTTTCCCCAAATTCACTTGTGACAGCTTTGATTGTGCCGTTTTCCATGTTATTGTGTGTTCTTCACAGACCCAATTTTATGGTTCTATACTATCAGGTAGATATGTCATGAAGTTTATTTAGCCACTGCGCTACTGTTGGTCATTTAGGTTGTCTTACTAGCTAAGTGTGTACTTACTAACAAAGGAATGATGTTGATTTCACAATTGCCATAATCACCCTCGGGGACCTGGTGTCCTGATCTCCCAACGTTCAATGTGCTTTTCTGTCATTTGATATTTAAGCTTGATGAATGTCAGCTCTGCTGCTGGAGCCTGGGGTACATTTGCAAACAGATTATTTCTGCCAGCTTTCATCACACAAATTCTGCATTTCATCCTCGCGGTAACTAGTGTGTTGTTGGACCTGGTAAGCTTAGCTCTAGCCTCATATTTTTTTTCCCTATGGGGAAACGTCTTGAGGTGTAAAGAAGTCCTTCACAAAGGAATTTTAGGAAGTTGTGTCCTTAGGGAATTGCATATTTATCTGATCCCCTGACCAGGGGAGTGTGCTATCTCATTGACAATTGCTCAGGAAAATAATCTTGCTATAGCCCAATTAGGCCTGGCTTCAACAAACCAATTAGGTATTATCTCTAAGAAAAGATTAAATTTGTATGGGAAGTGGACCTCAGGGTCCATCCAGTTTCAGAGTTTTGACTGCTCTATGGACATCCTATTGCTTAAGACCAAATCTTAAGCCAAGAGTGAACTGGGAAGAGAAATTCAAATGGGACAATGATGTTGTCCCTTTCCCCTTTTTTTCATAAGGAAGGCCTTTCTGTCCCCACTCCATGCCTCCCAGATCTTAGCGACATCCTTCCCAAAGGCCTTCATATTATTGTTCACTGACACTGCCAACCTCAGGAGATTGCTCTGACAAAGGAACTGTTTAGAATACATCCTACCTTCTGCTCGATCTCTGGTCATCTCTGATGTCTATGGATTTTTAAAAGGTGTTTGGAAAGAGGAGCCAAGGGCAATTATAATGCCATAGAATATCAACAGTTATTCCACTCCAAAGTAACTCCTCAGTTACCGTTGCTGCTGCAATTTTTTCCAGTGGGGGGGTGCAATAGACTATACTCTTACCTGGTCAAAATTTGTACCCTAACCTTTATTTTATATTTAAAAGTGATGTTGTGTGACTAAGTGAGACCATGCATGTAAAGCTGAGCTCAAAGGCCCAGCATTTAGGTAGCACTTTACATATATTAACTGCTATTGTGTAGGTAATCGACCTGGTGTAGGCAGTGCTGCACTATGGGAGCATTTGATGGACAGATCTCACCAGTTGGAAATGCAGCAGCAAACAGAAAGTAGTCTTGTACTTGTGTTTAAACACTGACTAAACAGAGAATGGCCACTGTGAAAAGAATTTGTGTTTCCTTAATTTTTTAAAAGTAGCTTTACTTGAAAATCATGGCAGTATGAATAGTCTTTCTATCAACTGTGTAGAATCTGCATGGGATGTGTGGATGGCGCATGTGCGCATGATGTGAGTAGTATTGTGTTGTATGGGAATTATGCAATCCATGTGTAGTGCATTCATGTTTGTTCATGCTTTGTGCAGGCGTATGCATGGATTTGGGATTTGTACACCCATACATGTTTATGGCTATGTACATGTGTGCTTTGAGTGCAGTGTAGGCTTCCAGAAGAGCGTGAGTCAGCCACTCAGGGCTATATTTCAGGCAACAGCTAAAAATCCTCTTTTGGTCTGGTCGTTGACATTTATAACTTGGTGCATGTTCCAAGAGGAGTAGCTAGAGGTGGACCCTGTCAATGTTAAACCAATGAAGAAATTGGGGAGATTAGAACAAGATGAGAACTGGACTAAGTAGTAGGATGGAGAGAGCTGACAATGTTCCATTCCAGAGTCCCAAGTAGAAACCCCCAGGACATAAATTACTCTTTGATTATGAGAGACCTTGTTTTATGATGGGAGTGGAATTTCTTGTGTGAAACTGACCTCTTGCCATAAAAAGGAGCCTTCATAACCTCGATGCCATTGAAGTTATACAACAGCCTTCAAGGGTGTTCAAGACTTAAGGTTTAAGGTATAAGACTCCTTCCTTCCCTCCCTCCCTCATGCCCTCCTTCCTTTCCCCTTTTTCTATTTTTCCCCTTCTCCCTTCCTCCCTATGCTGGCCTCGAACTTACTGCTTAGCCTAGGTGGACCCTGAACTCTCAATCCTCCTACTTCAGCATTTCTAGTTCTGGCTTTAACAAGCTAATGCCACTACACCTAGATTCTTTCTTTCCTTTTCTTCTTTTTTTCTTTCCTTTCTTTCTTCCTTCCTTCTTTTTTTCTTTGACCAAGATTGCACACTTTAAAGACACAGAAAAGAAAAACTTTAACCTTCAGTGGATGCAGATCCATTCTTAGTTCAGAGAACTTATGACCTGTCAGAGGCTGTACTTGAACTGGCTAAGAGGTTTGAATCTCCTAGCAGGAAACTAGACTACTGGGATGGTTGTCAGCAGGGTGCTGGGGTTGGCAAGAACTAAAATCAGATCTCTGATGAATTAAGTTTCTTTGGCCCCTCCTCTTGCTGCCTCCCCTTCCTTGCTGTGAGGGGGCAGAGCAAAGAGACAACTCCAGGTTTGCTCTATGGCTGGTGACCAATGACGGATTCTCACCAATATAGATTTTGGAGTTGGAGACTATGGAAAAATGGGTGGCCAAAGGGGCAGGTGGCAGCATGAAGTGGGTGGGGCTTGTCAAAGGGAAGTGAAGGACAGTGTGGATTGGGGAGGACGATTCCTAGGAATTCTCCAAAATCAGCCCCCTGAAACTTTCAAAAAGAAAAGAAATTTACCAAATCTACTTTGTAGACGGCATTTCCAGAAGGGTGAAACGGAATCCACAGCTTACGCAGGAGCTGTCAAGTTTGCATATTTATGCCCTCCATTCCATTGGGGTAAGAGAACCAAGTACTGACCTCAGCTACCCAAGGAAAGACCCAGAATAAAGGCCCCAGGCCTCCTCCACTGAACACTCTGGGGCAATAAGCAGTTAGCAGAGCCTAAACTGTCCCAGATTGGCTGCAACTCTGTGGATGACCTTGGGCAGGCCTTTCCCTTGTCTGGGCTTCAATGTCATCATCTCTTAAATGGAGAGGTTGAATTAGACGACTTGAAGGGGCCAGGGCTGCTGTTCTTTAATTAATATTGGGGCAATGGGGACAAGCTTTAAAGCAAAAGGAAACCCCACCTCTAAGTCAGGGTCCCTGGGTTCTGGCTGCCCTGCAAGAGAAGGTCTTTCTGGGACCTTTAAAGCCCTGAGTTGCGGGACGGCTTGCTGGCCAGGAGGCTCTGGCCGTCCCGGCCTAAGCATAGAGACAGGGACTCCTCCCCAGTGCTCGCCCCGCGTCCTGCTAGCCATTAGTGCGTTTGCTCTGAGTTCCCGGCAAAGCTGGTGATTTATGCAGGTCCTCGACGGGGCAGTCCCTTGAGCCAAGAACAATTAGCTAAAAGCCAGAGGGAAAGGAGGCAAGAGGGGGTGGGGAGCCAAGCCCTAGGGCACCCAGCCGGGGCTGTAGCCCCCGGCAGCCCCCAGCTGAGCGCCCCAGCCCTGCCACAAGGTGGGCCCCACTCACCACGGCGGGGGCGGGGTTCAAAGGCCGAAGCGAAAAGGCAGTCCAGCATCCACGCCATAATCAGTGCTGAGTGCCCGGCAGCTTCGCAGCTAACCTCCGTGCAGTCTCCCCGAAAGGACTGCTCTAAGTAGCCCCCGGTGACCACGCCCTGGCCGCACCCTGCACCCAGCTCTGAGAATCTTGGTCACCGGACACCTCAAACATGTCACAAAAGGGGCAGGGCCTCATGGGAGGCCCCCTCCCGCCAGAGGGGAGGGCCTCTGGCCCTGCAGCCCCTTCCCCCACTCAGAGAGAGTCCAAGACACATCTCCTGTCCAGAGAAGCTGTGACTCTGAGGACTGTACTGTGGCCCTACCCTCTGGGAGCTCACATTTTGAGGGGTAAAGGCATCTTAGCCCCGATGAGCCCCAAATCTGAGAAGGAGTGGAGGTCTTTCCTGGACCCCCACTAGTCCTTGGTGGAACATTTAAAATCAGGCCTGTTTCCAGAAGCTCCGTTTGAGAACAACATGGTGCACCTGTCCCAGGGAACCTCAGATCTGAGGGTGAGACTTTATCCCAGCCCCTAGAAACCCATGTTTTAGCGAAGGTCATGTCGGCTGTCAGGAAGCCCAGTCTCAGAGGAAATTAGCACTGCCCTCTCCCCATTCTGGAATCTAAATGAGGTCCTAGTCCTTGGGAACATTTCCCGCTCCTGTCTACTACTCCCCTCACCAGTTTTGGGAGAATCCTAGCATCAGCTAGTATAGCACCAGATCCTAGAGGGATTTTAAAGCACATACAGAGGACACAGAATGTAAATAGGAGAGATGTTTTGTTTTGTTTTGTTTTCCCAGGAAGAATCTGAGAGGAATTTTATAGTTCTGGTCTTGAGAGTTTTCTCGGGAAAGGAAGCAATGTTCTACCTGCGAAATTTTGTTTTAAGAAATTTGATTCCTACCTGCCTTAAATGTCGAGTACTCATAAATGTGGGGTACCTTCAGTTGCTTCTAACTTACAGCGGCGGCCTATGCTTTTGTTAGAGCACTGGCATAGGAGGGGCACCAACATTTATTTTTAGAAAGAATTTGATATTTGATATTTCCGTGAGGGGTGGTACTATATTAGATTTCTTTGCACTTTTCTTAAGGCTTAGTATTTAATTTTTATATACATATGCAAGGCATGTGCTGCAGGGGGCTGGATGTTTAGAACTCCTGGTGGAGGTAAACCAGTTCTACCCCTCCCCAATCCTGAGGTAGACATCGCCACCAGAGATGGACCATGTTGCAGAATACACAGGGCAAGAAGAATTTCTAACGCCAGCTTCCATTTTTCCTTCAAGCCCGAAGACCCGCGTTAATTTCTAACCCCTGTTCTTCATTGCCAGATGGACAGATGTGACCCTGCACCCAAGTTTCCTCACCCCCTGGGAAAATGGTGCTCTGCCAGTCAAAATGCAGGGAGACGGTGTTAAGAAATAAAAAAATCCTATTCTAACAACTAGTTTCTGGGCCTGTAGAGTGGGAGCTGCAATCACAGGTTCTTTGAGGAGGGTAGTTATTACATTTGCTTCGCTAACCACTGATATTAGTGTTAATGTGCCCAAAGGGTGCATAAAATGGAAAGCTCACCTGTACTCAGCCATGCAATTCCTAGCGAAGTAGAGAGAGCTATAGCTAGAATTTAAAGGGCCTCAACTCATTTTTCTTTCTTTCTGGGAAACATGGCACCCATCATCCTTTGCACCATTTTCTAAACAATTTCCAGTGTCTGATATCTTTTCAAGGCAATCAAAGACAGCAAACATTCGCCATACCTGCCCCTTTACCAATTTCAACTGTGCAAATACTCATTCACCCTAAGCCAAACACGTCTGCCAGCTAGAGAAGTTCACCTTCAGGTTCTGGATATTGACCTGACCTCCTCTCTGAGCTCATCCAGCAGCAGCAGCCTCTTTAATGGCCTCAACAGATTCTATCTTTAAAAAAAATTCAACTAAATGAAATTTTGTTTGACTCGCTCATGGCACAAAGGCTACCTGCCTACCTGTTCCCATTCTAGTCTTTGAAAACTGAATGTCTTGTTTTCAGAATATCTCAAACTGAAGTCTAAACCCAGGAAGTGATCCTTCTCTCTGGTCATTTTTGGTTTGTTTGTGTTCTGTTTAATTTTTTTGTTTTGTTGTTGCTTTTCAAGAAGTGTGATGTGGTACAGGAAAAAAATGCCAGAGTAATCACAAACCTAGATGGGAAATCCTGCTGGTATGTGCTAGGTATGTAATTTTGAGAGAGTTGTTCAACTTCTTGGTTTTGTCATATGTAAAGAGTGGATATTAATAATTGTTAACGAGCTTCAGGCAAATCAAAGCATCTCCACATTTAAGGGTAAAGGGAGAAAAGGAAAGATGGAGTTCATGATTCTAAAAAGAAAATAATAAAGTTCCATCTGAAAACGTTTATATTTAGTTAAATGTCACATAATAGGGCAGCGTCTTCATTCATCAATCTCCTAATTTATTCAACAAATATTTACCAAATGTCCTCTAGGTGCCAGATACTTAGCTGGGCAAATAATTCTGGTTCAATGGATGAATTATTACACAATTATTTTTAAATATATAATTTGAAAGCTTATATGATAATCTGAAAATACATTTATGATATTTTGAGTGAAAATAAGTCAGGATGCAAAATGTGTGTGCGCTATAATTCAGACAGTGCAAATAAATAATATGTCTATATGTAGAAAAAAAAGCCAAGAGGTAGCACATGAGAATCTTAATCATGATTGTATTTAGGGAATGCAATTATGGACAATTTTAACTGTTTTATTATTTTCATATTGCAGCATTTTCCAATTTTTCTTTAATAAACAACATTATTTTCTGGAGTTAGAGAACTCTGCTTTAAAAAAAAAACAGACAATAATATCTCTGCTGAACAAAGGACTAAGCCAGTTATATTAATGACTTGGGACTGTAGTTTGGGGTTGTCCTCACTTTGATGACTGGGAAAAAGCTGAAGAAGTTGGTTTATGAGTAAAATGCAGGAATCACTTCCTGTTTGGGGGCACATATCTAGTTAGGTCATCTTTCCTTGTGCACAGGAGTCCTTAAAAACCCCATGAAGGAGTCAGGAGCCTACTGGCAAGGACCTGCAACTCCTCATTCCTAAGTGTATGCTAATGAAGGACACACTGGGCATCTCTGTCCAGTTCAAGGCATAAAGCTTGACTGTTAGCTGTCTTGGCCATGAACTCTGCTCCTAACGTAGGTCATAGTCTACTGCTCATTGCTTCTCAGGGTATGGTGTTGTGGCAAAGAAGCATCAATTGGAAGGTGCCATAACAATGCACAGGCATTCTTTGCTCGCCCTCCAGTTCTACTGAATAAGAATTTCTGGCCCCAGCATGGTGACACACACCTGTATCCCAACTTCTCAGGAAATTGAAGCATGGAGTCACAAATTCCGGCCAGTATAGGCAGCTAAATGAGACCCTATCACAAAATAATATTGTCCTTATCCTGTGAGACACCCTTTATTCAATCAATCCCCAGAAAATATTCCTTGCAAAACAAATGAACAAACAAAAATGTCCTGGGCATAATGACCAGAAAAAATATATATTTTACAAGTTACTCATTGGAGTTTTTTTATGGTCATTAAAATTGGAAAATGTGTAGTATCAAGGAAAAAGATCTGCCCCCATATATCCTCTATCACTCTCTTCCCATTGCACCAAAGCTGCAAGAAACCTTTGGGTAGCTATCTGGGGACACTGATCACTTTACCTTAACTCCTTTTGGGGGAAATGGATAAATATGTACTATAAAAATGGACTTATGTTTAAAACTTAACCTTTATAGCCAGGGTATATTCAAAATGAGCACACTCCACACAGATCATCTGTCTGAATTTTCTGAGAGCCCTTGTGTATTCTGGTCAGACTTTTCATTTGAACATCCTATGTGCTGGGTTCTTTGCATTAAGGAAGAGAGAGGTGAAGCATAGTAGAAAAAACGGAGTATCTGAAGTTCAAACATCAGGAGTGACGCTGAAATACCATGCTACATAATCAGGTGAATGAATGTGAGCATGGTTGCTTCTCTGACCTTCTATGAAATGGGGTGAGTCCTACCACCACCCCCATCACTGAATTTTGCTGGGGATATGGATATTGGAGGGGATGGTGAATTAGCAACCCTGTTTCCCAACACCTCCTGTTTGGAGAAGACCTATCAGAATGTCCATATGGCAATCATACATACTCAGTGAAGGAGACCCCAGTACCAAGAACCTCAAGATTTTGCCTCCCTTCTTTTCTGCATAGGAAGTCTACCTGAGGTCATGGGTTACTCTATCCATGAAATCATGAGGAAATTTTGTGGGACTTGAGCCTCAAATGGTCTTGTCTTTCTTATCTATTAGGTAGAATTTTACAAGGAAAACTAAATCTTTCCAGCATTTTCATAGCATTCTAGAATATACCACTGCCATGGAATTTCCACCCTACTGTTTTATCATTGCCTGACAAAGTCCACTACTAACCTTTGTAATATAGAAATGGAGAGATTTGTTCTTGTGCTTTTAAGTTATGAAAGGGTGGTAAACTAAGTGATCTAAAGTCACCCCAGGGAAGAAAGATGAGCTAAGACCAGTCTCCAGTTCTCTCGCCCCCCGCCCCCGCCCATTCTTTGCCAGTATGCCTTGCTAGATCCCAGGAGCTGTCTGTCAGTGTGCTGACACCACTCAAGAAAATGCAAGTTTCATCCTGACATTAGAAAGACAGAGCCACGATTACGCCTCAGTCCCCAAGGAGGCAGAGAAATTGCTTTTAGTTGACAAGTGCATCTCCCACACACATACCCCTCAGGTTGAATGAAAAGATAAAAATCAAGTTAAAAATCCCAAATGTTCATTTAATTTTTTTTAAGCATTTTGTTCTTTAAGTGAGGGGGTAGGCAGGATGAAAGAATTCCGACTCTGTAAGTTTCAGCAGGGTAGGGCAGGAAGAATAGTACAAACTGGGGGGGGGGGACGACACAGAACTTTGTCACAAAGAAGAAAACGTGGGGAGGTGATAGTTTATATTTTTGCCACAATCAATAAGAGC